CTGAAACAGGTAGAGTGACAACTATGTGCAGATCGGAACTCATACGGCTTGAACATTGTGTAAAATCCCGCATTCCCCCGTTGTGTCATGTGTACCTTGTACTTATGGTTCCACCCAGTTTAGTTCCGATCTGCACATAGTTGTCACTCTACCTGTTTCAGACTGATAATAAAATGAACAAGGAAATAATTAGATTTGAATTTTATTGAATAAATAGATTCCTGGATTCAGTTAAGATCTCCTCAGTTTCTTCCTGTAGTGGATGATTTCACATGCTTTTTATCAATACGTTAAAGTCATAATCCTGCAGCTCCAATTATATCTCAATAAATGTTTCACATTTCTGAATTTTTACTATGCCAAATAAAACATGGTGCAATCTTCATAACAGGTTTGCTAGGGGGCGGAATACTGCCACGTTATCCGGGCCTAATCAGGTAAGTTTTCCTCGAAAATTCACAACCGAAATCTTCGTTTAGTCAAAGCCTGACCCGCAAGATGGTGATGTGGTGTGCAAAAGCCGCATTCTATTGGGGTCCGGTGTTCAGTTCATCGGATTATTCACCCTTGGGAAGAGTTCAAACATCCAACGTGCTCAACACGTCTCGATTCGCAATCGAGCCGATGACCGCTATTACAGCCTGGATGGTGTTTCATACGTCTCCTGGTTTGTTTAGAATCATGGATTGGAGCCAACTCCCCTAGGTGATCTACGAAGGGTTCAGCGACCCACTTGTAGCCCCGGATGCTGGCTTTTCATCCTCTCACTTTGGTTAGAAAACATCTCCACCACGAGAAGGAAATGAGTAGGACTTCCTCAGCAGGGGCTATTTGAGACGCTTGGTCGTATAGGAGCATTTCCTGAGGTGCACGGAAAGGTTGACCGTTTAAAACTCAAGACACTGGCTACCGACCATATGTAAGCTTTGCGAGGCACCCCTGTGGGTTGTTTGTGATTGTATTTAGGTTCTCCGATAGATTGGAACGTAGTAAAGTGCTCAGAACGCTAGGAGGATTCATAACGCGGAAAGAGTATACGTGCGCAAGCAGTATGTGAATGTTAGATGATGTTTACTGTCTCTCTCTTGATCATTTTTGTTACAGATTTACCGAACGAATATCAGGAGCATACACACACGCACTTAACAAGTCACAGTTTTTGCCCTACTTTCGCTCCCGCTCGAGCGAATCTTTGAACAACAAAACTCAACCTCACGAACTCGGTCAGATGCGTGTGCATCTCTTATGCTTGTTTCTGGTGTTTGTAGCCGGTTTTTTCCGAACGGATTCGTTACCACGGGAATTTGTAAGTTTCCGCACTATTCGTTTGTCGTGATTGCGGCTGATTTCACTCCCTCATTAATTCCGGCCGTTGGTTACGGTAAATGCGGTCTGCACTTTATTTAGGGAAATTAAGATAATGAGCACTGACAAACTTTAATACAACGCTTAGATACAGTTAATGCATCGATTCTACTAAAGGTCAAAGCCAAGGCCCTCAGAAAACCACAGTTTCTCTGTGACTGCACATGGCCTCGTTCTCCCCCTCCATGAAATACTGCTCCGGAGTGCGTCTCTCTCTAAGCATCTTCTGGAGAAGTCCTGCTGCTTTTAGGCAACATTACTGTTCCCATTTCAATGAGGGTGCGAAAAGACGATAGGCGATATCCCATGCATTGGCCGATTCAATGAGCCACAGGAATCTAGATCATCTAGGGTATATAGGAAACTGTGATTTCACATCTGTTATTGGGAGGCACACGAAATGGTTCAAAGACACCCTGATCACAGAGAAGCGGCTTGATTGTTGGTTTTGACATCTAAACTGTGTTTTTTCTGGAGACGTAAGATCTAGTTGATGGGACACCAGCTCTCAGTCAGACTTCAACGCGCATTGCCCATCACTATAGTGTGCATATTCAAACAGATTATCTGGGGGAAGCTACAGGGCTAAAACGGGGGAAATGGGCTTCCGGTCACTGGGTTATATAATGTGGTATACTGACTGGCAACAAGTGATATCCATCTAGGCAATCTCGATGAGTTCCTGTTTCAGTTTTTACAACCATTAACTATGCACCTTTGTGCATGGGTTCTGGTTGCTGTCTATTGGCTGCCCATTTGGATAAAAGAGCAGGGGGAATGACAGAATATTGAGAGCAGAATCTAATAGAAGATAGAAAATTCATATACACGGGTTGTAAGGATAATGAGTAGATGCACGAGCGCCACTGTGGGTGGTGTTGGCGCAGTGGTTTAGTCGCTGTCACCGGCTCGCTTTGGATTCTCTTGTTCGATGTTCGATCCCCTCCACCGCCACCCAACTTCGGTGGTAAATAGCTTTGCTGTCGTCCGGTTCAAGACCACGCCTAACCAATCGGGGCCTTATGCGGTTCACCACTCCAAGTCCCGGGGCTTAGGTTGACGGTTATCATCACTGAACAGCAGGTGTTCGTGACAATGGGGTTCCACCCCGTCTGCTGTCCATAACACACCAGTGTATAGTAATAATGATAATAATTGTATGCGGCACCCTGCCATGTCACTCATCCCCATCCAGGGAGCCTAACCGGATTTGCAACCTAGTCTCCTGATTGGGGTTTTCATACCATCAAACCAGGTCTTATTGAAACCTGCCTTTGACGTTTTCCCATTCATTGCCTGCCTCGGCAAACAACATGCGCCGTGGCAACCTGTTTGATGAAATACACAACACATGTACCAACCAGCGTAGCATACGGAGGTCGATCAATTACTCCAGTGAAGGATCACACTTGCCTAAAACCCTGCGTTTAATCATTGCTTGTTCGGTTTCCCACCGGCCTCGTACAATGCGACGTAGATAGCGGTGTTTGAACACTGACAGTCTGTTTTCATCATATTTCCGTAGTGGCCGAGTCTCGGCACCGTAGAGCAGCACTGGCCAAACTGGGTCGGTGGGGTGGTTTGTGAGAACTGCCCTTTGGACGGGCTCCAATGTGCTCGACGCCCATTCAAGCCCTTATCACAACCTAGGAGATCTGTGCATTGTTCGTTCGTCCTCTTTTCGGGTGGTTAGGAATCAGGGATTTTAATCAACTCCATTAGGTGAGCTACGAAGGGTTCAGCAACCTTTGTGTTGGTTATTCGTTCTATCATTTTGGTGGGAAACTAGCTTATTGTTTGTGATTCCGTCGACGGGGTTCATCAGTCACATTCACCTACTGATTCCTGATAGGTCAAGTATACTATGTTTATGGTATTCATCAATTATTCGTGAATAATCTCTATTCTGTTGATCTTGAAGCTACTAAAATCCATCCATGCCCGATGATTATTATCCCTGTGTGTTGCTGATAGACAAAGTGTCCACGTGATTTCTCTTTTCCCCGTTCTCGTACACGGGAGATTGTTGGATAAAAACAGCTATCAATAGTTTTCTCTCTGTCTTAACTTAAGAGGCTCAATTATCCTAGACAATTTGTAAAGCTGAAACTGAGAACGGTGCGGCGCAGGTGTATATTCCACTCCTGATGTTTTGTGTCTTATGCATTGCTAGCCGATTTTGAACGATGAAATAACCAACTTTTCTGTGTAAACGCAATGATCTTTCTTTGATTTGGAAATCATTGTTGCATTTTAGTCCCCCAAAAGTATCGATTTACCCATCCTTGATCATCCCCCTCCCCCGTTTTCTGTTCATAACCGCCCCTCATCCAACGCATAGTCAAGATCGGCCATCTATTTATACGGGGATAATGGGAATCGAATCAATGATGAGCCTATATGTGCCGATCCGACCCACGGGGATCACATAGATCAAATCCCATCCCCGACGGAGGTAAGTGATATGACACCCTCACTTTCTGTTTCGCCCTTTGTATCCAATTCCATCGAATTGACACTTCTTGTCTCGAAATCAGTTATCGTTATTTTTTCTCCTTATCCACCCTTTTTTAATTATTTCAATGTGCCCCCACTTTGTTCAAATGTGATAATATCAAATGTTTTGTGCTTTTTATGCGATCCTTCCTCCACTTTTCTCCCCCCTCTGGTTAATTGCGTTATACTGCTCCATTGTAATGCAATCTCAAAGCCGTTTTTATTATTATCAATACAACTACCGATATAGTTCCCACGGGGCGTGGCACAAGCATTGAAGCGGGACATATTTGTGGCTACGCAGAGTGCGAATGAGGCTCTAAGCTGCTGTGGAACAGTCAGTGTGTTGTCTCGACAGTCAAACTTGTCATACTTCGTCAGTGATCACCATTTGCGAACAACCGCACATCTGCAGAGAAATAAATCATTCGATAAAAGCTCACATGTACCGCATGTTTATTCTGGCATCACAATAAACTTGTTACTCGCACTTTTTACGGTATACCCAGCTTCTTCTCGCTCAGACTATGAGGTGGACAATCGAAACGGATGGTTTTGTGCGCATGACTTATGTCACACGAAATGCGACATTAATTTTGTGCGTAATTTAAGGCTTCTGCCCATGGTGACCATTCATTCCATGATACAGGAGTTGATTTCGAAAACCCGCATATTCTGAAGTGTGGGTTCAGAAGTCACAAGGAACGTTTGATAGCCGAGGCGCTCCCGATCAATGCTGAACCTACGGCAATCGATCGATCCGATGAGGCAGTCATTCCACAGTTATGGCAACAATTGACACTTGTGCACACAAGATGGTCTCAGCCCAATGCCAAATGACCAATTCACACGTTTTGACCTAAAGGTCAAACCAATTTCACTCGTCCCAACCACCCATCGAACCTTCACTAGCTCAGATACACACAAGCGTGCTTGAAATCACATCACATTCTACACGATGTCGTCAACCCATCACCTTATAATTGCTTTTAACGTGAGATTAACCGATTAAACTACTTGAGAAATGCCTTCCAAGAGGGTCGAAACGCTGTCACCAACGCCTTGTGTTTTGGTTTTTTCGTTTGTCGTGGCTAAGACAACCCAATTTCCTCAATAATCATGAGCACGACGTTTAAATTTTTCATTGAGGTCTGTTCCACCTATGGATCTCGTGTGATGGTACTTCATATTCTTACACTTCCCAATTTACGCGTTGCCCAGTCATCATTAGATTGAATCATTCGCTTCGGTGATGCGTTTATACACTTGTTACCCAGTCCATTTTGATAGTCCAAATGATTATAAACTGGTTGCGCTTGTTCGATGACAAAGTTCTTGTTATTTGTATCATTTTTGAGCCTTTGTCCTGATGTGTAGCCCCATCGTAGAGTATTTTCACACAGGTATTCTTTCGACACTGAAAGTAGGTTGAATTATTGTGCGGGATTCGAGCGTTCCGTGCATCCCTTAACTGTGACATGTAGCTCATGAGAAAAATGATTTGTTTCTTTTTTGACTGAAAAGTTACAACGGTCAGCAATGATGTTTTTTTCCTTCCTGTTCCTGAAAATGTCTTCGCTTATGCAAATATGTGATCAATGTCAATGTGTGTATTTCTCGGTTTACTACATCATTGCTTGAATGATCTTGTCATACATTGTGTAGTGAACCGCAGGTAGTCATGAGGGATGGGAACTACTAACCTAACTCCACGAGCCTCCATTAGCCACTCGCATAAAGCGCTAACAAGCTAGATGTGGTATTGAGCTGGGTGACAACTTGGCTGTTCACGGTTGAACTTTGATGGAGATGGTTGGCTTCGAGCATGTACCAGAAACATTCCTTGGTTCTCATATATCCCATAAACGCTTCTGTTAGTTTAGCATGCAGATATAATTTTCCACTAAGTGATACACTCACCAGCGTTTAATTTCCAGAATACTGGTCAAGGTCAATTGTGTGATCAGTGAACTTCTTGGTTTGATTGTGCAAGTCTTTAGCCCGCATCATCAGTGCGACCACGAAGCGAAACGATATGGAACAAGCATTTCGTATGTCCGTTGTCTTCACTTTCATGTTTGGGAAAGCCCACAGAAGTAAATTGGAAATACACACGATGCGTTTGGTCAATCAGTTTGAGTTGCTTTCACTAGTGTGCTTCGGGTTTGGGGTTCGAATCCATGCGATCGGTGACAGTCAGTTTCACTGTCGTGCGGATCGATACAGTATCTGTCCTTTTCGACTTCGCTGAATCAATCCCTCTGTAGGTCATCATGACTACGGGGTTCACTCCCTCGACTAGTTACCACTGAAGTGTATCGAAAAAATCGTAATGATACTTTTCTTCGCTCCCGTATACTTTCATAGGCACCCGTTCCACTGTTCACTTTGGCTCGTCTCATTAATGACAGTACCTCTCCGGTGCAACTGATCATGCCGAATGCGATTGTGCTGCACGCCCAAGATCTGTATAATTTCACCGCAATGCCACCACCGAATACGGTCTATCTTTTCTTGAACGTCGACGAATTCGGATCGCCTGAAAAACTGCCAATCAAACAAACACATGTCCTATTCGTCTCACCGGACCATTTCAATCAGCTCTGGACGGTAAGTGGATATGAATTGGTCAAGGCTGTCTCAGGATGGCATACTCACCATTGTATTGTAAACGGAACTTTGCTAATTACCGTCACGAGTTAGGTGATTTGACAAAAGATTTGTCCGATTGTGCCACTCCATACCCCTCCTCGATTGCTCTTCTTTGTTTTTTTGTTCGGTTGGGAGAAGTTGAGACGGTTCCCGTCATCTCCTATGGTTACATCACCCCAATACGACCTGCTTCTGATCAGATTGCGTTTAGCGGTCCTTGGTTTGGCACACTATTAAACCTTTTCTATGCCGCCTGTTCAGCATATCGTTTATTATATGGTTGGTTGTCTCATCGATCTGCTTGTCATATATTACGCTCAGCGATCATTCCATGCAGCGCTCTATCTCATCATAAGCGATAGTGGTGATTGTACTGCACAGTAATAATAACTCATTAGATTTTATTTAAAGTTAAAGTCAAAGTTTTACCATGGGAAATACTTACAAGTGGTTACTATTCTTGTCACAGGATTTTCGCACAAATGGATCGGTTTACAATTCATAGAAAGATAAGGAATGGGACAATTTTTCTTTGTTTCATACAATGCCACGAATGTAGAAATCTAAGACTTGACAGTGTTTCATTCAGTATGTGCTAGAAAGAATCAATTGTAGCAGAGAATTCTAAATACTGCACACTCTGAGGGCAAATGAATGGCGCCGGAATTCTAGTGGATATTCTTGAAGCACTAGTTTGAATGAGTACTCCCTGAGGTGAGTGTTAGTAGTCAAGGCGGACAGTGAACGACAAGTGTGATCAAAGTTCTGCGTTATTTGCTATACCAAAGTTAATTCCCCTGAAATTCGGCTATACTATGTGGAATACAACCCCAACGATTCCAGTCGTTCTACAAAAGTCTTGAAATACAGTCCTTTAACCATTTTGGTGTTCATTCTTCGTGGACGTTCCAGAATCTCACGCTTGAATGGTGCACTCTATACGGGGTCGATTGTAGGCTGATAACAAACTTGGGAACAGCATGGGTTCAAATTTGCAAAATACTCGTTTTAACAAACCATGTTTTTTACTGCAGCGGACGATACCCTGGAGCGGTTTAAAGAATAACTTAGGTTGTCGCGGCCAGTGACAAAGAGATCCTTCTCATTCGAGACATACGGAAGTTGTTGATATCCCAGGAAGTACGTAAACCGAATTTTGTGGCTGAGGGATACGACCGTACATTTTGATGCATTGTATTCGGTTTCATTTTCGATCGACCACTGGTAAGCAGTATTAAGTGTGCCTCAGCTTGTGTCGCTGGTATCCATATTTTTGCATCGTCTGCAAACATCAACGTTTGTTACCCCAGAATGAAAACTGGAAAAAGTTGAGGGTCATGCACGGATCCCTGTGGAACTCCTCGGGCTGAACTGATAAGATCAGTTAATGACAGGGAAACCCGGACTGCCATGGTGCGTTATCGAAGAAATTCTTCTATCCAACCCAGTAGAAGTCCCTAAATTCTATAGTTGTGTAGTTTCCTTTGCAGTATTTTTGGTTCACTTAGTCCAGTGCTTTGGAGGAGTCGG